CCCCCCCCGTGCCACACAGGACCCCCGTTTGTTTCCAGAGGCCACAGGGACCCCCTTTGCTTTAACATGGGGGTACCTGCTGTGTAAAACAGAAGTAAGTGCTTCCATGTTTTAGTGGAGGTGTCTCCAAACCCACACCTTTTTTGCGGGTGTGGGAGACTTGTTTTGTCAACTTTACAGGTTGCTAAAGCAATATCCAGACTACAAGATTTCCGGGACTGGGCTCCCCACCACTTAAACGTGGATGTACTTGCTTTGGAACTAAAAAAGTAAGTGCTTCCATGTTTTAGTGATGGTAAGTCTTCCTTTGCATTTTCACAAGTGCACAAGCCTGACCCATCATCTGTGGTGTATTTCAGCTGAACCTTTAAACCTGCTAAGAACACCCACTACTTTAACATGGAGGCATTTGCTTGACAGACAGAAATAAGTGCTTCCATGTTTTAGTGTGGTTGTTGCTTCCTAATCCTCCACGCTGTGTGCGTGCAGATCTGTGTGCGTGCAGATCTGGGCTGCAGGCCATTACTGTTGCTAATATGCAACTCTGTTTCCACAAATTGGAATTGCACTTTAGCAATGGTGATGGACTCGGCTGACCCCCGCCCATGCACCCACTTACTTGGATAGAACTCGCAGTGGAATAACCTCTTCTCCCATTCTGTGCCTCTCCTTGTGTTTTTTCTTATGCTTCCTTTTTGCTTTTAACAGTGATCCATCTTTTATTATATCTCCTGTTTCCTTTTCCTCTTCAGTGGAGACTTCTAGATCTTTAAGAAAAAGAAACCAATGAATTTAAAAAAGATAAATAAAAAAATAAAGGTTTATTTGTCGAGTCCTAACCTTAGTTACACAGTACCTTTGTTTTCTTTTGACACTTCTGAGGCTTTTTTCAGGTTGTCTTTCTGCGCCGTTTTCCTGACTTTGGCTCTGGGAGCCGGGCATCCCGTGTCCTCAGAGCTGCTTCGTTTTCTCTTTGCTCGCACCAAAGGTAAGCCAGTCACTTCAGCTCTAACCCGCTTTTTCTTCTTCTTTGAGGGTACCTTTTGGGGTTCAGCACCCTCCCCTTCGGAGCCCTCAGATGTGGCCCTGGGCCCCTTCGCCTCACAGGCGCTGCCCTCTGTGTCTGCGCCCACGGCTACACCTCCGGTCGGGGCGCGGTCTTCCCTCTTCACGCGGCCCTTCTTCTTCCGTTTCTTCTTCTTGTCCTCTGCAACGATCCCACTGTCAGTCTTCCCGGCACCGCAACTGCGTCCGCTTAAAACGTTTTCACTTACATGGCTCTTAAACTCACCAGCTACTCCAAGGGCGGGAATGGGCTTATTTTTCACTGTTTTAGGAAATATCCCAGGTTTCCTTGGTGCTTCTTCTGGTGGGTTGTTAAGAAACTGAAATGAAATCAGCAAAATTTTGCTTCCAATTAAACACTTGCTAATTTTCTTTGCTTTTCCCTTTTAGGTTCTGGACCTACCTCGATAGCTTTCGCTGCTTGTTCTTTTGTCTCAAACTCCACAAAGGCAAACCCCTTCGGGTCTCCTGTGGACTTGTAGTGTGGTATGCTTATGTAGACGACATTGCCGCATTTCCCAAACACTCTTTCAATCCAGCTGTGGTTGACATTCTTGGGAAGTAACTCCTACGATAAATCAGAAGCATTATTAATTATGTAAGTGTTCTTATTCAAGGTCAATAAATTTCCACCTGAGTATTCTTAAAATGTTTCCTTCCCTCTCTTGTCTGGTGGCTGGGCCTCCAAAACGGGTCCCCACTCGCCGCACACACGGCCCCCACTCACCACGTACACGGTCCGCTGGTCCTCATCCTTTGGTCTTTCACCCAGAGGCTTTTTTCTCCTGACCCTTGTGCCTTCTAAATCCAGCTTTAAACATGCACATAAGGTTAATAATAATCTAATAAGCGACGTAAGAAATTATGCAATATATGAAATAGTTCTTACCTCTACAACAGCTGAACTTTTCAGTGCTCTGGCTATTAACTTTTCATCAGTGGTCAATTTTTTCATTTTGTTAAAAGACACCAGAAGTGATATATCAACATCTAATAAAAATGTAAAAGTGAATATAAATAAAATTTCAAACTGCTCCTCTGGTGTAGTCATGGCTAAAAAATCCCATCCCACTTTAATTCTTAAACACATTTCCCTTCTTTTAAAACTAAGGTTTCAGGGTTTGTATGATGTAAATGCATGCTTTGGACATGCCTCAATGCCTATCCATTCCCACCTCTGAAAAACACAACCTGGTGAGTCAATTTAGTAAAATTGGTCATTAGAATGATTAGATTCTAGAGTCCTATTAGGTCCTTAACCCTAGAAAACTGTATTGGGGTAACACTAGTACTGTGTGTTCACTACCCCAAGTTTAAGTTCCTGTGTCCATCACTATTTATACCACCTCCCCTTTGAAATCATTTGTCCTGGCAACGAGTTCTACAGGAGTATGTAATAAATACACTATACACACCAATTAATAGAATTACTAGTAAGTCAAAGGCAGCACACATAAAAAAGCTGGTTCCACCATATACGGAAGCAAACTTACATCCATCTCTAGATTTCTCTATCTGCTCTCGAAGAAATCTATCCTTGTGAAGATTTGCATCTCCAAACCAGAAGTCAACTTGCTTGGTGATGTCTGCAAGCACCTGTCTGACTCGAGACCGTTTCTTTTTCTCTACCTCTCTCTTGTTTTCAGTCCCTTCCTCTCCCACGGCCTTGTCCTGTCCTCTTTCCGTTTCCATCCCTGTGAATGAAAGGGGTAAATAGGCAAGTCTGGAAAAAGGAAAACTCAGATTAGTCTTCAGTTGTCTAAAGGCATAGTGGACTCAAATTTCGCTGCCAGGTGAACTTCAGAGGAGCACTTACCAAGCCTTTCAAAAAATCAGTTGAATCAACTTTCATGGGCTGGTGATTCGTTTTAAAAATTTTAGCTCTTTAGAATATTCTTTAGGCCTTTTAAACTGCAGGACCAGACTGTCCTAGTATATAAAATCTTTATTACTAAGCTATACTTTTAAGTCAAGTCAAAGTGTAAGATTAAGGAACTCGGACATTTAATGTCAACAGACCTCAAGTTATTTACATTTAAAAATACTACAACCTCCAATGAAATAATTTGATTTTTTTAAATTTTTAAAATTTTAATTTCTGCTCACTATTACCAGAATTTAACAAGTAAGCTGTAGAATCGGCCTTTTTCAGGGGGCCATCCCATCCCAGTATTTATTTCTTGGGCACCAATTCCCAACCCCCTCCTTTCAAGTTATTCTGAATGTCTCCTTTGCTCCCTGGGCTCCAGCCATGCTGATCCTCTGGCTGCTCCTAAGCTCTGAAACTATCCCTAGGTAACGGGCTTGCTCCCTCACTTGCTGAAGTCTTGTTCAAATGTCACTTCAGTGAGGTCTCCTTCCACAACTATATTTAAAATTGCAAATTTCTGGCCAGTTTCTGTCTCCTTGCTCTAACTCCCCATTGCACATATCACCTCCAGTATTATTATACAATTTATGTGTTTATTATTCTGTATACTCTTCCTAGAGTGCAGGATGGAAGAAACCAGTGGTTTTTGTACTCTTTACTTACTGAAGCATCCATCGCCAGTCCCTGGCACACAGGAGTCCCTCAAACATTTGTTGAATGAACCTGTCATCTTAATTAAATCACTAGAGGTACATACACAAAATGAGTACAGCAGCAAAAGCTTACACTGGGCCTGGGATGATGCAGGCCTGCCTGAGAACAAGCTCAGTCTCAGATGGTTTTCTTGGAAACAAGAGAGTTAACACATGGGAAGGGCTGTATCTGTCTCTTCAGGCCCTCTTAGCTAGCATGCAGGCCTTGGGCCTACAGGACCAGAACGACATAACAGATTAGAGGGCAAAGGCGGCTAAAGCCTTCCTGTACCTGGGTGGTCTTTACCTGTGGAAGCCACACCTATCTGTGGCAGGAAGGGGCAATGGGTGGGGGTGAAGTGCTGGATTTGGGAATTGCTGGGGCAGGCCTCCAGGAGACAGGAAAATGCTGTTCCTACTCTCTGCTGCTTTCTGTGTCCTGTAAAGCTCAGTAAACACAGCACTAGATGAAAACCTGTTTGTGTCTCTGAGTCTCAGCAAAAACTTGTCACTGTAGCAGATGCTGCACAGAGAGAGGGCACAGAGCCCCTCCAAATCTCCAAAGTCAACACGAGAATTTGGACATTTTTAGAACAGGCTTCAGGTGATCAGCTGAGTGCGAATTTTTAAAAGACATGTAAGGAAGTATTAATTTACATGATGCTAAAATCAGTTGTACTTAGTGTGGCAGCCACATCCCTCACCTGATACTCTCACCTGAGCCCATCCATTGGGCTTCCCTCCCACCATTCTGGTGAAACTAAAGATGAATCAGCTCTACCGTCTGAGGTGAGAGCTCCCTCCAGGACACTTTCTTCCTGCAGCTTCCAGGATGGTTCCCACCCCCACCCCC